CCAGCGCCTGTGCTGTCCTGAATTTCTGTCGCGGGCCCCAGGTGTTCCCCGGACGTTGAGGGGGCGTCTGGAACCCCTCGAAGCTCAGAACACGCCCCCCCCCCCCCGAGGACCCCTCAGTTGGACATGCAACAATGGGCCTTCAGCGCAGGCACCATGTTGACGGTTGCGGCAGAAAGCCTCCACGAGATCGATGGATCGTTGAAGAATCTCTCAGCCTTCTTGAATCGAGCATGTTGGGCTTTCTGGTAGGCGTCGTCACGTCCAATGCCATAGATCTCTGCACCTTGAAACTCACCCTCGTCAGGCCCCCGAGGTCGGGCACTCGTGCAAAACACTTTGACCACGGCCGTGTTGAAGGCGAACGCGAAATTCCACCAGGCCAGAGGGTGGAAAAGCTTGTTCCATTTATTTAAGGCTGGCACCCGTGGGCTGTACTGCGCAAAGGCCCTCCAGACTAAATCCTCAGCTTTCTTGGGCGCACTGCTCGGGCCGCCGCACTCGCACCCTGCCGCGCAGACATGGCCGCTCCGCGCGGCCGCCCAAGACGAGCTGAAGAAGTCTAAGAACTCCTCCCTGGCGCGTCGCCTCTTGGCAGAGTTGTAGTTCTGAGGCTGACCGAACCGATCCACGAGTAGGGCCTCGGACGGGTCGTCCGCGAAGTCAAGCAAGGCCATGACTTGCCTATTGTACTCGCGATGCTCGGCGGCAGGAACTCCGTACTCAAATCGCAATCCTGCCGTGTTCGTGCGGTTGGGTTCCATGAATTGTTTCATGTGCTTCCGAAGTCTTCGCCGATTTCGGGCTTTGTGCATTAAGCAGGTAGCGCAGAAAATGCCATTGATCAAATCGTATCCGCTAAGCATCCCCATGATTGAGGCCCAAAGCATATGCATGCAACAGAAACTATGCAGCGTCATATCATTGGGTCCATCCTTCTCCCGATATTTCCTGCCCAACTTCAGCATAGATTTAGCAGAATCGGTGTTGAAGATGGTCACGCGCCGACCGACGTCACCATCGGTGCGGCGGAGCAAGAACCCCAGACGATTCTCCACAGCTGCGATCAGGGTCGACGTCTTCGTGTTTGCAATTGTTGCTGGCGGGACCACGACTTCGTGCTCATGCAGCTCATGGTTCGCTGCACGTTGAAGCACATGCGCGTGGACGACCAGCACGCTATGAACTTCGACCTGGCCGTCAACTTTGATGGGGTGCTCAGTTTCGTCCATGCTGACCTCTACAACGCGGCACTGCCACCGCCCGAAGTCGTCCAGCCGTGCCCGTTGAAGTCCAAGGTAACGTTCAGCGATCGCTGAGCGGACCTTCTTGATATGCGAGTGCGAAGCCCGCATGGCCATGCCGACGCTGCGCATGCTGTTCGCGAGCACCGATGCCCGCGGCCGACTCGCACGTGCTCTACGCTTCCGTCTGCGCACCTGCGCAGCGTGTCCGGCAAGGCCCCAAGCTCCGCGCAGAAGTGCGCACGTCAACCATTGGCAGGCAGCTCCCCTCCCCTGCCCTCGTAGGTCTGCAGCCTTGACCTCATTCATCCTGGCAGAATCGATGATGTCAGCGGGCCTCACAGCATGCATGGCGTTGACATTGTCAATACGGTCCTGCATGGCACCAGAAACACATTTTGCCTGCTGCTCTCGGCGGACCTTCTTGCTCAAACGCATGGCCCTTGCATGGCATTCTGCAGCCCACGTGTTCGCAACGAGCGGACCTCGTCGCTGGCGCAGTGCGGTGCCTACTGCGCCAAGGATGGCATCTGCTTCGTCCTCGTGGGCGGCCCCACGCGGATCCTCTGCGGCCGCCAAATAATCCACAAGATCATGGACAGCTGCTTCCATGGGTCAACAAAAAAACCGCAACCAAAATCAACCCAAGAGCCACGATGATTACGGAGGAGGGAGGGGAAAGGGAGGAGGCGGAGGACGGGCCGCAACGTGTTGGGTCATTCCACGTGTGTTTTCCGAGTCGAGGCGTAAACAGGGAAGGTATTTCTCATCCCCGTTGGTCTTCGTCCTTCTTCCCATCTTCTCCATCCTCCTCATTTCACCGTTTCTCGCAGCCTCCCGTGTTCGTAGTTCAAACCCTTCCACCCTGACCCCAGGAGTTTTTTTTCCAACTACTGATGATATTGTAAATGCGTTGGCATTGCTGTATTGCTATATGTTGTAGGTTTAGGCCATTTGAATTGCAAGAACAATTGCGTGCGCTTGCGTTGCACATTGGTAGAAATGCACGATGTAATGCGTGCATTATTGGGGTTTGCCGTAAATGCCATGTGTAATGCGCGATATAATGCGTGCACTATTGGGGCTTGCGGTTAAATGCCACACGTAATGCGCAATGTAATGCGTGCACTATTGGGTGTGATTTGAAATGCACGCGCATATGCTGAACTTAATGCACGAGGCTATGCGTGGACATCCGCCTAACCCTAAGAGGGGCAGGTTTGATGTGTTCCTGAACCAGCTAAGGTATGACTGTTTCAATACCCGCTGTCGTTTCGGCCTCTGAGGGCCTCTCTCCAAGAGGGAAAGAAACACACAGACACAAGTAATCGGCGATTCCCGAGAAAATATGGGGAAATATGGGAAGTGGGGGGGGAGACAAAAACCCAGAAAATATGTGAAAATATGGGGAATCCTTTTATTTGCGTGTATTTATTTGTGTGTCCCAGTTCCCCTTCAATAAAGAAGACCCCAAGCATGATCCAACACGGAAAAAAGAAAATGCCCCAAAAGTAGTTCCCAGACTGGTTTTGGATCATTTTTTGATTATTTTGGGGGTATTTGTTATCTTGCGTCGAAAATCCCCCTGTAGGGGGACAGGCCCGACTTGATCCTACCCAAACCTCCGAGGGTATGACTGTTTCAATACCGGCGGTCTTTCTGTCGTTTCGGCCTCCGTCGGGCCGAACGAAGGGGGGGGGGAGTGGGAAAGGGGGGGTTACGAAATTTGCTGCATGCAGCTGGTTTCGGCCTCGCCGAGGGGCCCATTCCTCGATACATAGCCGCCTCCGGCGCCGGGAGGCGCCGGGAAAATCAGCTACGCGAGCTGATTCTCAACCCCCCCCTTTGCTATCCCCCCCTTTCGCCCGACCCGACTCTGATGGCCTTTCTCGGGTCCGTGGATGATCGAAAACGGATCCGGGACGAGAAATGACCCCCGGGGAAAGGGTCGGGACTTCTGCGGCCGAGTGCCAGGGTAGTCGCCTTGGGGTCGCTTGGGAGGCCTCTTGGGGGACCTGTTGGAGGTATCTTCAGGGTGTGCCCCCCCTTGGGGCCTGTCGGGGGTCTCACTGGGGCCTCTAGATGGCCTCCGGGGGCCTCTTGGGGACCCCCTAGCGGTTTGGGATGCGATCTTGGGGTCCAGAGCTTCAAATGTCAGTTGATGTTCCCTCGCGTGTGCCCGTCTGGGGGCGGTGTTAAGGGCATTGTGGACCGTCCTGGGCGCTGCTAAGACAACAGGCATCGTAGAAGCAAATACGATGTTCGGTTACGTTGACCTCTTGGGGCGTCTCCCATACAGCCTCCAAGACGGCCCAAGCGGCACACAAGAGGGCTCCAGGACGGGTCCTGGGACCACCTTAGAGCATGCTCGAACTGAAGACCGCCAGCCACGCTCTCGAGGCCTCTGATAATGTCACGCGGGAATTTCCAGGAGCGCACGAGAGTATCCAGAAGCGCCCGGAACACGGGGTATGGGCCCCGTAAAGAGCAGCTGCGACATTCAACACAGAATTCCAAGGAACACCAGGACAATCCGCTCAGTGCCCACTTACGGCACGGCTGCGGATGATGTAGGGCCATCTTGGACGCCCTGGCCGCTCGCGAAGCCCTGGTCCAGACCCTAGGGAAGGGGGCAGAGAGAGGGACGCCTCCCCCTCGAAGAGGAAGAAGTGGGTTGGAGGAGCCACGGAGAGGAACGTTTGCTTAGCGCGTCACGCCGCCAATTCTGGCCCACCACGCTTCGGCGCAACAAACACACTAAGGACGTCCCCGTCCCAGTCCCCAAGCATAGTTTTTTGCCTGCCTCCCGTCCCGCGGAGCAGAGCGACACGCTATCAGTTTGTGGGTAAGGCGTGTTGCAGGGGCCGCCGCCGCGACATGCTAAAGCTTCTGACCATAATCCCTCTAAGCCACCTACGCCCAGCGAGCTGGTGGGACTCTCACGCCTCAGGGTCCCGCCCCACAGGATCCCCACCTCGTGGGGAGATCTGAACCACCCGCGGCGGCGCTGAGCGGTCTGGGCCGGAGAGGCGGGCCTTCTTCGGCGATCGGGCGCGAGAACGTGACGACGGTCGCGCTCGGCGCTCGCAGAGGCGCGGCAGCACGAGCTTGTGCCGACCGAGGAAACGGGCCCAGAGCTGCAGAGCCCCGCGTGTCCAGAGAGCCTGGGCGTAGGCAGCCTTGGGCGGCGGCTCGTCCTCTCTCTCTCCTCGGGCGCCCTGCTGCCGTGGCTCAGGCTTGGGCGGCTTGGGGCCGAGGCGCCCGTGCACCGCCCCAGACCTCCCCGCTCGCTGCCGAGTTCTGCTCCGCACCTCCCCGCCTCACCGCCGCACACCTTTGGGGGGGTGGCAGATGTGCTCGCTGGACCGGACGGCGGCTCCCGCCGCCGGGCGGGTGCTGGCGCTCGACCAGAGGCTCCGGTACCCCTCGGATGTAGGCGACGAGGCGCCGCCCCCCGGCGTCGCCTCCTGGAGGCCGTCTGCAGGCGCGGCCGGGCACGGCGGCGCCCTCCGCGAGGCCGCGCCCGCGGAGCCCGGCGTGCCCGTGGAGAGGGTGCGGTCCGCTCCCGCCTCGAGCGCCGCGGCGGCCGCGCCGCAGGCGGAGGCGCGCGCGGACCGGGCGGGCCGCACCAGGCACCGCCTCGCGGAGCTGCTGGGCGCGCCGGCGGCCTGGCCCGGCTCTGCCGCGGCAGCCGCGGCTGGCCCGCCCGGCCGCGTGCGCGGCGTGCTGAGCACGGAGCCCGCGCCCTCTCCGGACATGGCGGCGGTGCCGGTGCGCAGGGCGGCGTCAGGGCCCGCCCCGTGCGAGCTGGCGGCCTCCAGGAGCGCTCGCACGAAGGGCCGCCTCGCCCGCCTGCTCGAGCAGGACGAAGAGGGCCCCAGGTACGTGTGCAGCCTCCGGCTCGAGCGGGACCTGATGGAGCGGTCGGGCCGCATGGGCAGCAAGAGCTCCGTGGGCGACATGAGCACGGAGGGCGACGGGGAAGGCAGCGTGTCGCGCACGTGGAGCAAAGGCAGCGCCGGAGAAGACAACATGTCGCGCGCCTGGAGCAAGAGCAGCACCGGAGAGGACAACATGTCGCGCGCCTGGAGCAAGGGCAGCGCCATTCCCTTCTTCGGCCACAGCCCCAGCTGGTCTGCATCGTCAGACCACTCGCCCAGAGCCGACGGACTGACCAGGTTTGGAATGCCGTTGGACATGGTGGCTGAGACTGAGAGCGGAACGGCCTCGAACGAGCTGGGTGAGGCGTTCCGTGGGCCACTCGGCCAGGCCACCTTGGCACCAGGCGTGATGCCCGTCATGCTGATGCCGGCCGAGGTAGCGGTGGCAGCGTCCCCCACATATGCAGCAGGACAAGACAGCCGCCCCAGTCGCACAATAGCGCTGTCTGTGCAGCCCGAGCTGTCTGCCTCCGCGCGCCCGCCGTCGCCGGCGGCCCTCTCCGCGGGAGGCCCATCCGCGGCGCAGCCTCGCAGGATGTCGTGGGCCGACGTCTCGCTCACAGCGCAGCCGAGCCAGGAGTGCTCCCACGAGGTCTTCCAGCCAGCGTCCTGCGGCGTCCGCCACCAGCCTGGCCAACGGGCGCAGAGGCCACGACAGCCGCCGCACCAAGCGATGCAGCAGCAGAGACAGGACGAGGCGCGGGAGCAGCAGCAGCTTCCGGCAGCCCTCAAGGGTTCCGCGCAGCGCCCCGATGACGAGGTGGGCGGCGTGACGATGCGCGACCTTCTGCGCATGCTGAAGGACAAGGAGCACCGCTGCGTCATCCTGACGCGCAGGATTCAGTACCTCGGCTTCTCTGCGCCGACGCAGCTCGAGGACCACTTCGGGGCCTTCGGCCCGGTGCAGGACTCCTGGGCGGGGGGGGGGGGGGCATTCGCAGGGCAAAAGGGAGCTTTCTCCAGCGCGCTGCCGGGCCTTCACGCTGGCCGCCCCCGTCTTGGCCCCCCCGGCACGGCTGCAATCAAGATGAGCCCCTGGATTTGCCCCCTCCTCCTCCTCCTCCTCCTCCTTCTCCTCCTCCTCCTCCTCCTCCTCCTCCTCCTCCTCCTCCTCCTCCTCCTCCTCCTCCTCCTCCTCCAGGCCAGTGCTCCGAGCTGCGCCCAGCCGTGACCGCTCTGGGCCCCGCGGTCTGACCACCCTTTCGAGGCGAATCCGGCCGCGGCGACGCGGGCCTCACGGGAGGCGCAACGAGGCGACAGGGAGGGAGGGGAACTCCGCGGCACCAGTGCTTCCTCCTTCCCCGACCCGCCCTCCGCACCCGCGGCGCCCACGACGTGCTCGTGCCGCAGTCGCACGTGAAGCACGCCTGCCCACCCTGCGGGTCCAAGAGGAGCCGCCAGGCGGCCGCCCGGCAGCGCCCCGCTCACCTGGGCTTCGTCATCATGGACCCCCGGGGGCGGCCCCGGCCGCACAGCTCGACTCGGGAAGCCCCCATCGGGTGCCTTCCTCGGGTGCCCTCCCCCCCTCCGGGTGCGCCCCCCCCCGGCTGGCCTGCCTGGGGGGGGGGGCCCTCCTCGACGGCCCCCCATGCGGGTGCTCGCCCTTGGGTGCCCCCCTCGGGTGCCCCCCCTCGGGTGCCCCTGCATGGAGGGGGACCAAGCAGCATAGGCAGAAGCCTTCGGAGTTCCGCGCAGAGTCCTCGCATCGGCGCCAGATCCCCACCCCCCCCATGGCGGGCTCCGCGCCTTCGCCAGGGAGAGGTCCGAGAGCTCGGCGCGGACCTCTGAAGAGTTCACGCTCATGCTGCTGCCTGTGTTCCTCCACACTTGGCGTCGCCCACGAGTGGGTGGCGCGAGGGAGGGGGCCTCCTGAGAGGGCAAGGCGGGGGGGGGCGTCTCGGGAGGCAGGGGCCTTCAGCAGAAGGGCCCGGCGGCTCCCAGGAAGGCTTCTTGGGAGCCCC